GCTGGACGATCGTAAGGAGGGTGAATTGCCGATCGGTCTTCGTGGTGTTGGCATGGGCCTGGGTGCAAACGGTGCTCCGCTCGGTGATGTTTCGTCCGTCATTTCGTCGCTCAGCTCCTCAGCATCGGCCCACGGTACGTTCGATGGCGCTGCTGCCCCGTACTCCGGCCAGACATCCTACCCGTCAAGCGGTATCTCCTCCGTCCTGCCGTTTTCGTCAACTTTTGGCTCTTCGTCTACTGCGACACCGCTTGCAACTGTATCGACCGGAGGTTATTCATCATTTGGTAGTGCCAGTGGCTACAGTGCTTCGCGCTCGATTATTATCAAAAATGTGAGTATCCCTCTGAAAGATATTAGATGTAATTAGTTTTCCACTGACTGAAGAGAGGTCTGTTTTATTTCCGATTTTCCCATCTTTATGCGTTTTTCTTCTAAAATTCGATCTCTCACATCGATTGAACAATATCGAAGTTGGACGGGATTCATACTGCCTTGAAAAATAACGGTGAACCTAATAATGTGTTCATTAAATCGCTGCATCTTAGTGATATTAAACAGTCAAAAATCCAGACTTTTGGGATAATAATGTGGTTTTCTTCTCCGATTGGGAATATTTGTTTTTATTAGACTGCAGGTCAAGTTTTTCTAGATTTCAATGAAAATGAAGTATTATCTTTGAATTGTGTTTCCACGTGTCCGTGCCACAGCTTCTTGTGAACATCATCAGCCAGATGCTGATCCCAAAGAAATTCGGTTTTTGCTTTGGGCTGTCGATTCGAACGCTTGCTGAGCGAATCTGCAGAATTAAGGAGAATTTGTAAATTGAGTTTTCAGCTTCCATTGGACTACACATGGCAGATAGTTCGTGATCGTGTTCAGCAGTTCGGTCCAGTGGATGTGACTGAAATGATTGCGCCGGGTTGTGCCAAAGTTACGTTTGCTATATCGGCGGACGCAGAACGAGCTCGCAAATCCCTTCAGAATACCACCGTGGAGGGGCGCGTCATCGGCGTCGAATTTCTTGTTCCCTGAGCTGTTTTTCTTCAGTTACTTCTCTGCACCCCTTCTTACTTCATCGCTCCTGAAGCATTAAAAATTGTGTGATACAGCTCATCTTCTCCATTCTCTGCAGCTTAGTGACATAAACTTCTGCATTATTAAGGTGGTGTATTGCCATGGTAGTTTTATCCACGCCAACATCGAGGTATTCTTTTTTATCTTACCACTTATTTGATGGCATCTTTTACTGTCTTGTTTCCCTGTTGACTCGAGACGACATTTTTTCTGATTCAATAAGTAATCATGTCGTTTTTCTCCGAGTCCACCGGCCCTCCGTTTTCGCATTGTGATTTCTGAGTCTAATAATTCCCCGCTTTTTTGTACTGTTAACACGAAGTCTAATTTTGCTCTCTTCGCATTATGATTTCCGATTTTTCTTCATTTTAGATCTTAGCTCTCTTTTTTCTGGCTTTTGGTTTCCCTTCTCCTAATAAGCGCAGCGCTGTTGTTCAGTG